ATAAGATTATTTGCGGCCTCTGACAAACCAAACACACATTATCATAGTAAAGAGACCAAACAGAAACAGTCTTAAAAAAAAATTGTCCATTGAGCTGTGCTTACATGGCATACCAAAAACATTTCCACATGTATATTAATAACTCACACCAAGAACCAAATTAAACATCTTGTGCATCTAGGATCATACATACATATGGCCAGCCAAACAAAAGGTTTATGTACATAGGTGAACCAATGGATCCACCAAGGTAGCAAAAGAGAAACAAAAGGACAAAAATGGAGTCTCATGCGTGAGACATCCGAGCTAACTCCACAAAACTTGGACTTCTCTTACAAGCTTTATTGAGGCTGGGGCTGGACATCTCTTTGCTTACCTACATACACATAAATAAGAGTGAGCGAAAGCCCAATGAATAATACCAAAATAAAGAGGTTATACGAATAAAAGTTCTCTAATAAGTGATATCCTTGTCAATCACATCAAACGACCTTAGGCCTATTCGTATTTCTATCAAATGTATCAAATGGCCTTAGGCCAAATCATATCAAACGGCCTCGGGCTCAATTCATTCTTGTCAAATGGCCTCGGGCCCAATTCATTCTTAACAAACGGCCTCGGGCCCAATTCGTTCTTAACAAACGGCCTCGGGCCCAATTCGTTCTTATCAAACAGCCTTGGGCCCAATTCATTCTTATCAAACGGCCTCTGGCCCAATTATCGTATCAAACGGCCTTGGGCCCAATTCATAGCAAACGGCCTCAGGCCTAAGTCATTCGTATTCATATTTATGTGCATTTCATATTCGTGGTCATAATCGTATTTGTATTCAAACAGCCTTCGGTCCAATACGTTTTCCTCGTAACGCCTTATACAAACATTAAGCATAACGAATACTCGTTCACAAATCAACAAATCCATAAAACTTATACAAAAATAACATTTGGAAAGTAGCATACTTGAAGGTATCTTTTCTAAGATACTATTCATAGTGTTCTGTCGATGGATTTGCCCTCGTGCTTGACCCTACACATTTCATAACACATTAGGTTACAAACAATTCAATCCGTTCTTAACTTATTATTTCTGTTAGGCCTCTTTTTTATCCCTTAAGTTCATTTACAATGTTCGATGCATGCCTAAGAGTGCTTAGGAATGAATGAGAACAGAAAACGAAACATAAAATAACTTTTCAAAATTTCTAAAACAGGACTCTATGCTCGAGTGGCTTGTAAACTATGTAAAAGTACTGGTTGTATGCAATTTATGCTCGAGCGAGACTTCTGACGCTCGAGCGCAATGTTTGACGCTCGAGCGACCATATAAATCTCTATAAAACTAATGGTTGCCTTCATTTTCCACTTGAGTGGCAACTCCTTCACTCTAGCGAAGAGGTCGATTTCTGGGTTTTCCAAAATTTTGTTTGAAGTTCAAGTCACAATTTCATAGGTCCAATTCATGTATAATACACTGAAATATGCTAGTACACTCCCAAAAACATATGTTTGAAGATAACTTACAACCATAGTTCAAAATTCCATGGATTTAACAAATTTTAAAGCATAAACTTTATATATACACAATTCATGTTTGTATCTAGCATGAGCAAGCTTCAAGGTTTGAAATTAAGCTTTAATGCATGGAAATTCTTAAATGCATGTGTCAAACAACCCTCAATACAACATGATCAACATGCTTTACATTCAAACATGCAAATTTATGGTCAATTCTTATATGCATGCATCAAATGATCTCAAATTTACCAAGCTTAGATTAATTCATGTATTTAACTTCATGTATACTTTGAATTCATTTAGTTATGAACTTAAACTCATGAATTTGAGTTCAATTACTTACCTAGAAGCTTCAATTCTTCCAACCAAAGCTAAATCTTGAGCTAATTCACCAAGTTCTTAAATTTCTTTGCAAAACTTTCAAGGATGAGCCCTCTTTCTCTCTAAATCCAGCTCCCTCTCTCTCTAAGGTGTGTATTTCAATCTTTGAGCTCCCAAAGAATGAGTATAAGTGTAATTAGGCTCATATATATGCTTGCCTAATCAAATTTGATCAAGGCTAACTAATTAAGCTTAATTCAACCAATTTAATCTAATTAATTTGGTCCGAATCAATTTTTAATCAAATTTCACTATAGGCTCTAAAAATCACATTAATCACAATGGTACAGACAATTCCAGTTTCTGTCACCGTCTACGGCCTTCAATTTTCAAATTATAGCAGTAAATTGGACAGATTTTCCTATGGTGAACGGATATAGTTTCAAAAACATAATTAATCACATAATCATCACCAAAAACTACATAAGCACATAATCACAATCATAATCAAGGGTAATTAACATAACACAGAACAGGGTTATCACAATCTTTCCCTTTTTAGGAAGTTTAGTCCTCCAAACTTATTTTTACCTCTGTCCGGAAATAAGTGTGGATAGCGTAGCCGCATCTCATCGTCATTTTCCTATGAGGCATTCATCTCATAGTGTTCTTTCCATTCCACTTTCACCATTGGGATGGACTTCTTCCTCAACTGTCTCACTTGCCGGTCAATGATTTGTTCTGGCCATTCTTCGTATTTCATATTTTCATCAAGTGCTATCCAATGGTAATCAATCACATGAAATGGATCTCGGAGATAACTCCTCAATATCAATACGTGGAATACATTATGCATTTGTTCGAATCCCGGTGACAAAGCAACTCTATAAGCAACTGGGCCAAGCCTTTCTAGAATTTGAAACAACCCAATGTAACGGGGTGACAATTTACCCTTCTTACCAAATCTCAACTGGCCTTTCATTGGAATTACACGAATAAATACATGATCGCCAACCTCATACTCGAGGTCTTCTTCGAACATCCACATAATTCTTTTTCCAACTCTATGTTGTCTTGAGCCTTTGTTGGATGATTTTAATTTACTCAGAAATGTTTTGCACAATTTCGAGTCCAAGTAGAGCCCTATCCCCAACTTTTGTCCAACAAATTGGTGATCTACACTTTCTACCATACAAAGCTTCGTATGGTGCCATACCGATGCTGGAGTGAAAACTGTTATTGTATGCAAATTTAGCTAACAACAAATAATCTTCCTAACTCCCTGAAAATCTAAAGCACACATTCTGAGCATGTCTTCCAAAGTCAGTATGGTCCATTTCGATTACCCGTCTATTTGTGGATGGAATGCAGTACTGAATCTTAGTTCTGTTTCCATTGCTCTTTGCAAGCTTTTCCACAATCTAGATACAAATTTCGGATCTCTATCCGATACAATAGATACCAGAACTCCATGTAAACGTACAATCTCATCAACATATATAGTGGCCAATCTATAAGCGTCAAAAGTAGTTTTCACAAGCAGAAAATGTGCAGATTTGGTCAGTCTATCAACTATAACCTAAATAGAATCCATACCTCTAGGAGTCCGAGGTAGGCCAATAACAAAGTCCATGGTTACATGCTCTCACTTCTATTCTGGAATAGGGAGAGGTTGAAGTAGACCGCCTGGTTTCTGATGTTCAGCTTTAACTTGCTGACATTGAAGGCACTTAGCCACATACTCTGTGATCTCTTTCTTCATTTTAGTCCACCAATAGCTTTGCTTTAAGTCCCTATACATTTTGTTATTACCCGGATGCATGGCAAACATCGACTTGTGAGCTTCATATAGGACTCTCTTCTTTAGCTCAGGAATGCTTGGGACACATAATCGGTTTTGGAATCTCAACACTTCATTATCAATGCTGAATTCTAGTTTCGGATTTGCATTAAACTCATCAATTATTTTCTTGAGGAACTCATCTTTTTTTTGCCTTTACTTTACTTCATTAACTATCGCTGGCTCAGCTGAAACAGCAGCTATCAACCCCACTTGTTCATGTAATACAACTTCAATCTCAGTTTTCTCCAAATCTTGCAAGATTTCTCTCTACTCAGTGAGTAGTTAAGCTAAGTTCCCCGTTGATTTTTTGCTTAATGCATTGACAACTGTATTGGCTTTTCTCGGGTGATATTGAATCTGAAGGTCATAATCTTTTATCATCTCGAGCCACTTCTTTATCGCATATGCAACTCTTTTTGAGTAAATAAATACTTTAGGCTTTTGTGATCCGTGTAAACTTCACATCTTGCCCCATACAAGTAATGCCGCCAAATTTTCAAAGCAAATACAACTGCGGCCAATTCCAGGTCATGTGTTGGATAGTTTTTCTCATGTGGTCTTAATTGTCGAGAGGCATAAGCAATTACCCGTCCTTCTTGCATTAATACACAACCTAGACCTTTATAAGACGCATCACTATAAATCAAAAAGTTTTCCATACCTGTGGGCAATGTTAATACTGGTGCAGTAGTCAATCTTATTTTTAGTTCTTGGAAGGCAAATTCTCTTTCAGCATTCCATTCAAATGGTTGTTCTTTGTGGGTCTGTTGGGTAAGAGGTACAGCTATTTTCGAAAAATCCTTCACAAACCTTCTATAGTACCCAGCTAAGCCCATAAAACTACGGACTTCTGTTATATTTGTTGGTGTAGGCCAATGTACAATTGCCTCTATTTTTTGTGGGTCTACCGAAATCTTGTCTCTGTTGATGACATGCCCTAAGAAAACAACTTCATCCAACCAAAACTCACATTTCTATAATTTAGTAAATAATTTCTTTTCTCTAAGTGTTTGCAAAACAGGTCTCAGATGTTCATGTTCAAGTCTACTCTTTGAATATATCAGAATATCATCAATAAAAATCATAACAAATTCATCAAGGTAAGGCTTAAAAATTCAATTCATAAGATCCATAAATGTTACAGGGGCATTAGTCACTCCAAATGACATAATAAGAAATTCGTAGTAACCATACCTCATTCTGAATGCGGTTTTCTCAACATCTTCTGTCTTTACCTTCAACTGGTGGTACCCGGATCTCAAATCAATTTTAGAAAATACTTGTGAGCTCTGCAACTGATCAAACAAGTCGTCAATACGGGGTAAAGGGTATTTATTTTTTATCATTACCTTGTTCAGTTCCCGGTAGTCAATACACAGGCACAAGGTTCTATCTTTCTTTTTCACAAATAACATCGGTACACCCCATGGTGAAGTACTTGGTTGGATAAACCCCTTCTTAAGTAGGTCTTGCAATTGTTCTTTCAGTTCTTTCATTTCGGCAGTCGACAATCTGTCGGGGGTTTTTGAGATAGGCCGAGTGCTTGGGTACAATATCAATAGTAAACTTTATTTCCCTGTCAACCAATTCTCCTTGCAATTCATCTGGGAATACATCTAGAAACTAGCTAACAATAAGGATACTGCTCAATTCAACATTCACAGATTGTTCAGACAATACACAACACAAATAACCTTAGCACCCTTTCATGATCAATTTACGTGTTTTCATTGCAGATATCAAATAAGATGGAGGCACTACCCCATTGCCCATAAACACAATTTCTTCCTGCCTTGGTAGTCTAAATACAACTTGTTTCGTTACATAATCAATGGTGGCACAGTATTTAAATAACCAGTCCATACCCAGAATTACATCAAAGTGTCTAAAGTCTAAGGGTAACAAATCTACGTACAAGGTAGCATTCCTAATATGCATATCACAAAATCAACATACAAATGTACACAACATAGATTCCTCAGATGGAGCAGATACACATAACAAATATGGCAATGATTCTAGAGGTCTATTCAATCTAGATACAAATACATAAGTTATAAAGGAGTGTGTTAATCCAGAGTCAATTAACACAAAAGCATCCTGATTACATATAGAGATAGTACCTGAGACGACGGCTTCTGCGTTCCATGTATTGCCCGGAACGAGCGCAAAGACTCTTCCTTGCCTCACGGTGTCTCTGGTAGTAGTAGGTCTCATAGTGTTTCCTGGTTTTGGGATTGATGTAGTTGAGCTAGCAGCTAACTTCACACTATTTTGATTACAATCCTTGGCCATATGCCCTGTTTTACCACACTTAAAGCAGGCCCCTGAAACACGGTAGCAAACTCCGCGATGTCTTTTACCACATTGGTTGCACATTGGAGATGTATCCCTGGAAAAATTTGAAGTGTTTGAGGTGCCTGTATTCTGTTTCTTTGAAAGTCTTTTCTTCGAAAAAATGCCCTGCCTTTTACTTTTCCAATCAGTTTATGATTTACTCTACCTGACTATGTTAGCTTCTGTTATTATCGCCCGATCTAGCACATCAATATAAGTTTCTAGCTTTAGTACATTCACCTTCTCTAAGATGTCATCTCGAAGACCACCCTAAAACTTTCTCGCTTTCTTATAGTCAATGTCGACCATGTGCGGCGCAAATCTAGCCAATTCAGTAAACTTGGCCTCGTACTCAGCCATTGTCATGTTGTCTTGCTTAAGTTCCATGAACTCCTGTCATGAACACATTGTGGAAAGTATTTGTCGTAGAAAATTTCTAAGAACCGTGCCCAGGCAATATCTTTATTGCTTTCACGCATCAACATCCACCACCTTCTTGCTTCATCTTCTAGTGTAAAGGCGGCTAGCAACACCTTCTATGTTTCTAGACAAGGAAACACTTCAAACAACTTCTCTATGCCAAGGACCCACACTTCAGCCTTCAATGGATCCAATCCTCCATGAAACTGTGGCAGTTTCATTTTCTTAAACTCTTTGGTGAGAGCTGTGGTTCGGTCATCGTTTTGCAAGTCATGAACAGGTTGTACCGGAGGTGGAGGGTGTGGCTGTTGTCACTGTTGTTGTTGCCTCAATGTTTCTGCCATGTCCTGTATTAATCTTTCCATCCGATCCATTCTAGTAGTAGAGGACTCCTCTAATTCATCAGCTCTTGTTTTCATCATTATTTGATTAAACTTGCATATTCTTTATACAAAAATGGACACAAGTATGCATATACATATTCAAGTAATTCACAATGCAAGTAAATCACAAGGCACATAACACACAGTCATTCGTTTCAAGATATTTAAGTTTATTCTCAATGCTTTCAAGTTCATACTTATCACATGAATGCATTCTAAATCTTTTCTAGACGCTCTAGTGCTCTTTTGGACAAGTGTGTGAGTTGTCAACTCGTGACCCAAACCCGCCCCCGCAGGTTAAGGTCATAACCGGCCAGTAATCATAAGATTACCTACGGCCTCTGACAAAACCAATTCACATTATAATAGAAAATGGGCCAAACGGAAGCAGTCTTGAAAATAATATTTGTCCATTGAGCTGTGCTTACATGGCATACCAAAAACATTTCCATATATGTAATAATAACTCACACTAAGAACCAAATTAAACATATCGTGCATCTAGGATCATACATACATATGGCCAGCCAAACAAAAGGTTTATGTACATAGGTGATCCAATGGATCCACCAAGGTAGCAAAAGAGTAAAACAAAAGGACAAAAACGGAGTCTCATGCGTGAGACATTCGAGCTGACTCCACAAAACTTGGACTTCTCTTACAAGCTTTACTGAGGTTGGGGCTGGATATCTCTTTGTTTACCTACATACAAATAAATAAGAGTGAGTGAAAGCCCATTGAATAATACCAGAGTAAAGAGGTTATACGAATAAAAGTTCTCTAATAAGTGATATCCTTGTCAATCACATCAAACGGCCTTAGGCCTATTCGTATTTCTATCAAATGTATCAAACAACTTTAGGTCCAATCATATCAAACGGCCTTAGGCCCAATTCATTCTTGTCAAATGGCCTCAGGCCCAATTCATTCTTAACAAATGGCATCGGGTCGAATTTGTTCTTAACGGCCTCGGGCCCAATTCATTCTTATCAAACGGCCTCTGGCCCAATTATCGTATCAAACGGCTTTAGACCCAATCATGTCAAACGGCCTCAGGCCCAATTCATAGCAAACGGCCTAAGGCCCAATTTATTTGTATTCATATTTAGGTGTATTTCATATTCGCGGTCATAATCGTATTCATTTTCAAACGGCCTTCGGCCCAAAACATTTTCCTCGTAACGCCTTATACAAACATTAAGCATAATGAATACTCATGCACAAATGAACAAATCCATAAAACTTATACAAAAGTAACATTTGGAAAGTAGCATACTTGAAGGTATCTTTTCTAAGATATTATTCACAATGTTCCGTCGGTGGATTTGCCCTCGTGCTTGACTCTACACATTTCATAACACATTGGGTCACAAACAATTCAATCCGTTCTTAACTTATTATTTCTCTTAGGCCTCTATCTTATCCCTTAAGTTCATTTACAATGTTTGATGCATGCCTAAGAGTGCTTAGGAATGAATGAGAACGGAAAACGGAACATAAAATAACTTTTCAAAATTTCTAAAACAGAGCTCTACGCTCGAGCGCAGCTTTGGTCGCTCAAGCGGCCTATAAACTCTGTAAAAGTACTGGTTGCATGCATTTTATGCTCGAGCGAGCCTCACTCGAGGGCAATGTTTGACGCTCGAGCCACCATACAAATCTCTATAAAACTTCTGGTTGCCTTCATTTTCCGCTTGAGCGACAACTCCTTCGTTCGAGCGAAGAGGTCCATTTATGGGTTTTCTAGAATTTTGTTTGAAGTTCAAATCACAATTCCATAGGTCTAATTCATGTATAATACACTCAAATATGCTAGTACACTTCCAAAGACATATGTTTGAAGATAACTTACAACCATAGTTCAAAATTCCATGGATTTAACAAATTTCAAACCATAAACTTTATATATACACAATTCATGTTTGTATCTAGCATGAACAAGCTTCAAGGCTTGAAATTAAGCTTCAATGCATGGAAGTTCTTACATGCATATGTCAAACAACCCTCAATACAACATGATCAACATGCTTTACATTCAAACATGTAAAATTATGGTCAATTCTTACATGCATGCATCCAATGATCTCAAATTTACCAAGCTTAGCTTAATTCATGTATTTAACTTCATGTATACTTTGAATTCATTTAGTTATGACCTTAAACTCATGAATTTGAGTTCAATTACTCACCTAGAAGATTCAATTCTTCCAACCAAAGCTAAATCTTGAGCTAATTCACCTAGTTCTTGAATTTCTTTGCAAAACTTTTAAAGATGAGCCCTCTCTCTCTCTAAATCCGGCTCCCTCTCTCTCTAAGGTGTGTATTTCAATCTTTGAGCTCCCAAAGAATAAGTATAAGTGTAATTAGGCTCGTATATATGCTTGCCTAATCAAATTTGATTAAGGCCAAGTAATTAAGCTTAATTCAACCAATTTAATCTAATTAATTTGATCCGAATCAATTTTCAATCAAATTTCACCATAGACTCTAAAAATCATGCTAATAACAATGGTACAGACAATTTTAGTTTCTGTCACCGTCTACAGCCTTCAATTTTCGAATTATAGCAGTAAATTGGACAGATTTTCCTACGGTGAACAGATATAGTTTCAAAAACATAATTATCACCAAAAACTACATAAGCACATAATCACAATCATAATCAAGGGTAATTAACATAACACAGAACATGGTTATCACATATGGTTTCTCCTAATTTTCACTTCCTCTTATAGTTTTCCCAAAAAAAAAAAAAAAAATTGGTTTTCATAATCACAACTTTACCAAATTCTAATGGTAATACGCAAGATATTTCAGAGTCTAACTAAATTTTTGAAATATATTAATCCTTTTTTCTTGTCAGATGAAGAATAGAGAATTAAAAGAAATAGGGTAGCACAAGTAGCAGATGCAAACAAAAAGTTATCTATGGCCCATGATGAAATGAATCATCTTGGTATTAGTTTATATACATAACGTAAATAGCCTCCTTATATCTATACTACAATTTGACCTTAAAAATAACTACCCTTCGTTTGATTGGTCATAGAAAACATGGGAATTGTCATTGAAAGATGCATTAAAGGAGCTTTGAACCAGCCAGAATCATCCATAGGTATTTATGGCCCTAAACCAACATAACTTTTATTTAGTATGTTTCTTCTTTCTCTTTATTCTAGGATCTAATCATTCAACATCCATAGATGTTGAACATGATGTCAAAGAGAAAACATCTATTAGTTGCTTCAGCATTTACGAAATTGGCTAGCACTATTTCTTTGCAATTCTTATTCCTCGAAATGAGCTATTTTACTGTTCAAAATGAGTTATTTTACTGATAGTCTATATTGAAACAATATAGAAATAATTACAAAATAAATTTACATCATTTTAATAGGCTCAACTTCATCACCAGTGAAATCTTCATTGACATACAAAGGTATAATCTTTCTTTTTGGACTTTAACTTTAGACAGATTAAAATTTGTTGGCTCATTGAGCCTACAAATCAATACTTTGATGCATAGGTGATTACTAGGGGTGTGCGCGGTGCGGGTCGGTGCGGTTTGAGAGAAAAATAGAAACCGTATGGCGTGTGGCGGATTGATAAAAGTGTCACTAGAATTTGCCATTTTTCTTATCAAAAATCGGCGGTTCGATTGACAAATAATAACGAATTTGCCTTGGTGGTGCGGTTTGGTGCGGTTTTGGCGGTTTCGGCGGTATTATGCACACCCCTAGTGATTACAATGGAAGACGAAATAAGAGTTTTTCATCTGAACAGTTTATTGCTCCCACTGAAGCTGCTATCCTACCAACCCAGATACAATCTCACTTCTGTTGTGCAAAAAGGTTCTATGTTGAGACTAATAACTTCTGTTGTATGAGTGGGAAAATTTCGTTGTCTTTCACAACAATGCTCCCTGAGCTCCAAACATTATATACATCAAATTCTGGTGAAGCAAAACAATTCTGAACCTCTATTCGAACATACAATAGCTGTTTTGCTTTTACATCTTTCGGAGTGAAGTATGACAAGGAACTTTGTCAAAGGAATAAAGGAATTTACACTTTTAGGATACAAGGTCAAGTCTATCACTTCATTAATGAAATTCAATCTCTTAGTGATAGACTTTCTCCGTTGCAATTATATTTCTATGACATTAATCAAGAAATCCAACATAGAATGCAACATTCAAAAAAATTGAGAGCTTCCATCATTGATAAGCTTATTCAAATTTCTCGTTTAAATCCGTATTCTGCCTTCTTTAGAAGCCTCACAAACATAGCTGAGCTGGATTCCTTACAAATCATAATTAGATGTGATCCTGGTCTAGATCAAAGAGTGTACAATAACCCATCAGCATCACAAGTTGCAGCAATTTGGATTGCAAATTAAGCTGGAATGGAATTTAAGGAAATGGATATTATTGTTCAACCAATTTCAGGCCATAGCGAAAATGTTCGCTATTACTTTGGCTGCTACGATCCATTACAATACCCATTGTTGTTTTTATTTGGTGAGCCTGGATGGCATTGCGGAATACAAAGAGTTGATAAACACAAGAGGGATTCTATGTGTTGTGGACAAGTATTGCTAAATTTTAATGCAATGGCCTCTGCATCAGATTTGCTACAACAGGAAAATGAAGGTAATTATTGTTATGTTTAATTAATCTCAACTCAAGTACAAACTTAATTACCATTAACATGAAGCATATTTGTTTTCAGTGCTTGACAAAAATTCAAACAAAAGGACAACAGTGTCTTGTAGAGAGTATTATTGCTATAAGTTGCAAATAAGGCCTGATAAAAGATCAATTCTTCTTTGTGCTGCTCGTCTATTTCAACAATATTATGTCGACATGTATGTCAAAATAGAAACAACAAGGCTTCAATTTTTCCGGAACAACCAGGACAGCATTAGGGCAGACCTCTACCAAGGAATCATAGATAGTGTCAACATAGGTGAGGAAAGAGCTTCCTAAATAGGTCATCGAATTATCCTTCCACCATCATTCATAGGTGGGCCACGAGATCTTCGTCGTTGTTATATTGATGAAATGGCATTAGTCCAGCGATTTGGAAAACCAGATGTTTTCCTTACAATGATATGTAATCTATCATGGCCAGAAATCAAAGCAGTGCTGGGACCAAATGAAGAGGCTCAAAATAGACCTGATTTGACTTCTCGTGTATTTAGAGCAAAAATGGAACAGTTAAAAGATGACATAGTCAAACGACTACTTTTTGGAACAATTGTAGCGTTTGTGTATGTCATTGAATTCCAAAAGAGAGGTCTTCTGTGTTGATTTTACAACGCAGACAAAAGTTCCTCACTCCAAAAAGCTATGATTCTATAGTATGCGCTGAAATCCCAAATGAAAAAGAAAATCCACATCTATATTCTATGGTTGTGAAACACATGTTGCATGGACCCTGTGGTCATTTGAATCCAAACAATGTTTGCATGAAAAAGGGAAATTGCAAAAATCATTATCCTAAAAATTTCGAGCCTATAACAAGAACTTTAGAAGATTCTTATCCTATATATAGGCGCTGAGATGATTGCCAAACTGTTAGAGCTCGAGGACAAATACTTGACAATCGTTGGGTCATCCCTTACAATCCATATCTACTTGCTAAGTATGATTGTCACATCAATGTTGAGATTTGTTCGACAGTAAAGGCTCTCAAATACTTGTATAAATACATCTATAAAGGCCATGACAGAGTGGGATTCCATGTTTTTCAAGAAAATCAATCATTTGATATAAATGAAATCGATCAATTTTAACCAGCAAGGTGGATTTCTCCCCCAGAAGCATTGGGGAGAATCTATGCATTTCCTTTAAATGATATCCCCCCCTCAGTAATCCAGCTTCAAATCCACTTTGAAAATCAACAGTTTGTAAAAAAACTGCAGATCTCAATTCTATACTGAAAAATGATACATTCTCAAGGACAATGTTAATTGAATTTTTTTTTAATGAATAGAACAAATGAGGAAGCTAAAGTTAGAAATTATTTGTATAAAGAATTTCCAGAATATTTTGTTTGGTCACAGAGTGATAGAATGTGGACAGAAAGGAAAAAACAAAAAGTCATAGGCCGAATTGTCACAGAACATCCTAGTCAAGGTGAAAGGTACTATCTTAGACTATTCTTGAATAACATTCGAAAACCAACATCATTTGTCTTTCTACGAACAGTGAATGGCAAACAAGTCAAAACATTTCGAGAATCTGCACTTTTGAATGGCCTCTTGGAATCTAACAACAATCTTGAACAATGTTTACAAGAGGCCATAGCTTATCAAATGCCTTATTCACTAAGGTGTCTATTTGCAACAATTCTTGTTCATTGTGCCCCAAACAATCAGGAACAACTTTGCCTCAAATTCCAAGATTCCTTGGCCGAAGATTATGTGAAAAAAACAAATCTCCCAAAACAAGAGATATTAAAAAAGGTTTTCCAAAGCATAAATTTGATTCTACAATCAATGGGCAGAAATATAACTGACTTTAACCTCTGTTCAAACCAAATGCTTTCCTTGGATAATGAAGAGATTTGTCGAGAGATTGAAGAAGAAATGAGCATTGTTGTCTCTGAAAGTGATTACCAATCTATCTCCTTATTATCTCCTGAGCAAAATAATGCTTTCAAGATAATAACTAATAGAGTTTTCTCAGGAAATGCATGAACATTACATAGCTTTAGCAACCGCATCCTCTGAAGTTGCTACAACTATTTTGCTTGGTGGTTGCACTGCTCACTCCGGGTTCAAAACACCTATTGACATGGACACATAAATCTTGCAACATAGGCAAACAAAGTGGGTTAGCGAAGTTATCACACCTCGCAAAACTAATCATTTGGGATGAGGCATCTATGGCTAACCATTAAAATATCGAATCGTTGAACGATATGCTGAAAGATGTTAATGAATCAGAATTGCTTTTTGGAGGTAAAGTAGTTGTGTTTGGTGGCGATTTTCGCCAAATATTGCCTGTGATTCCGAAGGGAACCAAATATGACTCCATTGATGCTAGCTTAGTAAAATCTTACCTGTGGAAGTCCTTACAAAAAATCAAATTGACTATCAACATGCGTGCATGACTTGATCCTTCTTTTAGTGATTACCTTTTGCTCATTGGAAATGGAATTGAACCAACAGATGCTTCAGGAAGCGTTCATTTACCATCTTCTATCATCATTCCTTAGACAAAACCAATTCATGAACAAAAATCGCTTCATTATCTAATTGATGCATTGTTCCCAAATCTTTACAAATACTCCGTAGATCCTATCTCAATGGTGAACTCTGTTGTGCTAACTCCTAAGAATGACTCTATCAATGAAATAAATAATATTTTGATTCAAAGATTTCCTGCCAAAACAACTGATCCAAATAATCAAGGACAATATGAGGATTTCATAAATTCTCTTGAACCAAATGGCCTTTCACCTCATAAGCTGTATTTGAAAAAAAAAACTGTCCCATTATGGTCTTAAGAAATATTGATCTTTCACAAGGCATTTTCAATGGAGCACGTCTTATATGTCGAGATTTCAAAGATCATGTCATTTGCGCAGAAATTGCTGTAGGAGATCACAAGGGAGACATGGTTTTCATACCTCGAATTCCATTACAACCTTCTGATCAACAAAAGTTCCCTGTGCAGTTCACTAGAACTCAATATCCCATCAAATTGTGTTTTGCAATGACCATCAATAAAGCACAAGGACAAACACTAGAGGAAGTTGGAATTTATTTACGAGAACCAGTGTTTTCGCATGAACAACTTTATGTTACCTTCTCACGTGCAACAACAGCTGCAGCAGTGAAAGTTCTTAGCACATCAAGAAATGAAACTGATGAAAAGATCTGCGCTACAAGAAATGTTGTGTATCGAGAACTGCTGGCACATGCACAGTGTTGTTAAATTGTGCTTTTGCAACTTTTTTGTGAAAATCTTAAAGATATCATTTTTGCACTACGTACCTAAGAATAATTGACTTCTGCAGAGACCTACTAATAGTTAATTCTCATATATTTTGTAAGGTTCAAACACATTATTTTCTTGCAATGAATTATTCTTAACCAATTGTATCATTCTAATTGTTTTGTCTTCTTTTTCAGGATGGAAGACAATTTCATTTTTCTAAGCAAAATTACCAGCTCTACTGGGAATTCGAAGGTGAAGTTCATGTTTCGCGGAAATGGTTGTCTAGAATTGCAAGAACAAGTTCATGTATATATTCAAACTTCATTCTCCAATAACTTTCACATAGAAGGAAAAAAAAAAAAAGAAAAAAAAAAGAAGGATGCATAATGAAATGATTGTTAGGTTGAGTTTGTCTTTCTGAAGTTTTCAAATTTATTTTTTCATCTGCCCATGTTGTTTGCTTATCTTGATGTGCAGATTGGAACACTTGAAAAGCAAAGAGATGAACTTCAAGATGAATTGAAAAAGGTGCTTGCTTGGTGGTCCCCCATCACCTGAAAAACCCCATTATTGCTATTGCAGAATTCTCTTCATTAAATATTGACTCAAGTTTTCAGTTCTACCTATTTTTTCATTTGTGTCACATGCGTAATGTTGCACACTTGTACCTAGCCCTGTGTACACTTGTCCCTGGCCCGCTTAAAAATTGAAACCATGACTTCCATTGTATAGTCAGATCATTTTTACTCATTAACATCTCCATGGTGACTAACCATAACACATCTTATGAGAATGAATGGTTGCTATAGGTCAAAAGCTCATTACATTCTGCATGAGCACGTCTTCATAATGCCAGGAAAGAAAGAGAGCAGTTTGATGAAATAAGCAACCAGATTGTTGAACATTTGAAGACAAAAGTGTTATGCTCTTTGCACTTATTATATATACAACTTTGAGTTAAACCAATTGAGAATCATTTTCTACCATGCTTTATAGTTTACACCATTATATCAAACCACACAGTTGGAAACTTTTAACAGGAGCACGAACTGTTGAGATCTATTGCGTGTTATAAAGAGGAAGCAGATTGCAATGCATTTATTAATTTTTTGGAGGGTACCTATGTGTTCTAGTCCAAACACACAGACCAAAAGGAGAAGGTGATCAAGTAACGACTACTTTGTCACTCTTCAATTATTAGAGAATTTTTTCAATAACTTTCATGTTTTATTCCGCCCATTGTTCAGTAACAAGTAGCTCATGAATATTTATCTTTAACATATTTGTTCGGTTAGTAAAGTAGTCTTCAAAAGTTGTAATCTCCAAGTTCTTTGATCTTCTTATATGGCTCTTTGCATTTTTAGATATTCTGATCTATGAGTAATTCTCATTTTCAATTGTTTGGGTAGACACAAGAAAAATTAGAGCATCCATATACTCTTCTTATCTTCAACTCCTTTCATATGCTCATCTTACTCTGCATTTCTTACTGTTCTGATGTGGGTAATTCTCATTCCCAATTGTTTATGTAGATAGAGGGTAAATTACAGGATCCATGTACTAATATAATCTTCATGTTCTTAACCAATTGTAGCACTTTCAACAAATGAATGCATGAGAAATGCAGGCGAATGCTTCTAATTAGTGGAACTTCTTTAGGGTTGGCTTTTGTTTGTGACGCTCCAAAAATCGGGAACATCAGAGAATATAATAACAAATAAATACAGGGTTTATCTAAGATTACAAAATAGGAAATGTCACTAATGAGTCCTTTGATCAATAAACAAGTAAGATCCCAGGAAAGATCGGATGAGTTAAACTGGCCTCCCTTCAAAGTCCAATCTCCTTAGATAGAAAAACTACTTTTTTGATAGATCTTATCAAGGTATTAATATAAAGTCTACATGAGTTGACAAAAAATAAGGAATAGGTAGTATAAAATATATGTACAAATATATAATAATTACAAAATCAAGTCTTAAACACAACATGGGATCTATCACTTATAATCTCACAAAACGTTTACAAACTAGTTTCTAATCCTCCTAGGGTAGCCGTACGTCCTCTAATGCTTCAATTTTGCCTTCGACTAGTTTAATAGTCTTCAATACCTGACATGAAACGTCATAAGCTTTGAATGCCCAGTAAACGTACACACCCTGTCCCTTTTTTCCAATTCAATATACCGACGTATTTATAACAAGCAAGTAGTGAAGCATGATATTTGAGTCAATAACAACAATTTCAATAATAAAGGAAAGGAACATGACATTCAAATAAATAACAAAGGCTATAATGCTAGTGGTTAGTATTCTAGAAATCTCCCAAAGAGATTTCATCCTCCCAACCACAAGAATTGGACTCGGATTATTTAGTATGTCCCATTTTTTGCTACTTTGCAGACCTTATCTCGGATTCCTACCAATGGTTATATACTGCGTAGAGCCAACTGAGGACCTCAAAAGAGACGGTAAAATAAGGGCCTTGCCCATAACCTCCCCCAACCTTATCCACCATAAGCACTTAGGGTCTGAATACAACCGATCCATTCAAGGGTTCCGATACAGTTGCTTGCGCAAGACTTTCCTTCAATTAGGGAACACATCCTATCAATACATAATACATTATCATCTCTTCATTATTCAAGTGATCGATAATCCAATACCATCCCAATTAAGTTTCCCATTGAGTTATATGTCTTAAGTTAGTTAGCACAAGTAATTGAAATACATTTTCATAGATATAAGCATCATCATTAAGGAAAAAAATACATAACCATGAAATGTATAATATCATACCAATACATGATTATATATAAGTAAGCATATTCATAAAGTCAAGAGCACAAAATATCAATGTAAATAGAATTTCCAGATTTAGAGTTACTTAAAGATCAAGATTAAATGGACTATTTCAAATTTCCTAAATCCGGCCTTCCTATGGTTTGTAGAGAATTTTATCTAGTTTTCAGAACATTTTTCGGAAATGAAATTGCTTTTCCCGATTTTTAGATATTTCAGAAATACTCCAACTCTGTCCAGATTCATCGACGGTTACGAAAATCGGATCTTCTCACAAACTGCTCACTCTTTTTCAATGAAACTAGTTTTTTCTTGAAAGATAACTCCTTAAGTAAGAGTTGGACATAAAATTGAGGTCTAGAAGATATTTCTACATTTTTCTAGAATTTTCTAAAGTTGGCTGCAGAATAGATTTTTCTGGCACAGTTCTTGCAAAAAGAAATTTGGTGAGAAAAGAGGTCAACTAGGGGAAAATTTTCACTTCTCTTGTGATGAAAACATGCTAAATAATATTTATTAAACTCAAAAATTTAAGGTGAAGGTGTGCCTTTGAAAATTTTGAGAGATTGATATAGAAAAAGGTAGCCTTATACCGATTAAGAGAAATACAAGAGGGTAGAATCAAGACTCAACTCCTTTCATTTTTAACACAAAAGTACCATCAAAACACATCTGAAATGAATGTTTAAAACTTTTAAGAGCATGCATTTGAAAGGAAAAATAAGAGAGAGTTGTGTTGTGGCTTACTTAAGGGTTGTTGGAATTGCTAGCAAACTTTTTCTTCCTTTTCTCTCTTCTCCCTTAGCTGAATATAGTGTGTATGTGTGTGTTCTTGCATGTAAAATGCTATGGAGGGGTTGTTTTTATAATGAATTTGGTGCAAAAGGTCATAAATGCCCATTGGTTGGAATTAGATTGGATAGTTTAGATTTAGTTTGAATTCAACGAAATAATGGATGATTAGAAGCCTTAATTAGGTTCCTAAACATGATTTAGTTAGGGTTTTCCTCCTAATCAAACCAACTTAGTTGCATATATATATATATATATAAGTTTGTGCCAAGTCAAAGATATTTTCCTTAAATCATGCAAAATTGTCTCAAAGTACATTCATAGTATCTATATAGGTTATGGCTAGCCATAAATGGTGATTTAAGGGACTTACTTTATTAATTTTTTTGGGTATAAATGTTGGAAATTGTAAAATATAATGTTTAAAAAAAAAGGTTTTAGGGTACAAGTGTATATATAAATATATACTGGTACTTGTTTGGGGTCAATTTAATAAAAATGTGAGGGCTTTGGGTTTAATTTATGAGTTGGAACATTTATTTTAGGGTAGAATTAAATTAAATTAGGATTAGAGAGTCTAATCGGTTTGGATTTCTTGTTTCGAATAAAAAGGCGATCAACCGATGAATGTGATAAAGATCAGAAAAGCCTAGAGCTTTTATGTGGTAATTCCATATTTAGGGAGTCAATTAATCAGTATTAGGGTATTAGAAATGATTCCTAAGTTTTGGGTTCAATCAGGGTTTGTATGAGTTCATTCGTGATATGTTTTTGGTTCTAGGGTCAATTCTGCGAATTAACGGGAAACTAAGGGTTTTTATTATAATAATTCAAAAGTAAGAGTCTTACTAGGATTTACAAAAATTTAGGGGGTCTCACATTGTTGGTGATAGAAGTCTCAAGCATAAGGCTGCTTTACTTGGCTGTTAGAATTTTGATTACTATATGATCTTGTATTGGGTGATTTGCTGATGGTATAAGTTGTATTTTGGTTTGTTGTTTATTGTTGTTTATTTGGTTTATGTTTAACTCTCATATTAAAGAAAGCATAAAGTTCTTTTCAACAATGCAAAACATATCCGATCAATGAAAAACCATTGAATGCAATAAATAATCAAAGATGAGAGAACACCCATGCCTTTAAGACAATAAATACTATAGTACTATATAGTATACATCTCTAAAACAATAAATGCTATGTAATCATTCTTCCATAATTTCTACCAAATAATCACTCCACTACATTTCTTTAAAAAAAAAAAAAAAAAAAAAAATATCTTCAAATCAAAAAAACAAATTTTAATTAAAAAAAAAAAAAAATGGGGCCAACTAGTCCGGGCAAGCACAGGGCAACCAACCTAGTACTTACACTACTAAAATTTTAGTTTTTTGCGATGGTAAAATGCCGTCGCTAATACTCCTAATGCCGTCGCAAAAAACTTTTTGCGACGGCAAATGACTTTTTGCGACGGTAAGAGGAGGGTCGCAATTGGGGGCGTTGCAAAAAAGTTTTTGCGAATGTTTTGCGACGGCATTTTTGCCTTTTGCGACGGCACTTTACAGTCGCTAATAATGTTCGAAATTTCTTGACTTTTTGCGACGACACTATTTTACCATCGCTAAAAATGTTATTTGAGACGGCAAAAAATACCGTCGCTAATAGTCTTTTTTTTGCAACGGCAAGAACATTGTTTTTGCGACGGTGTGGTGCCGTCGCAAAAAGTATTAAAAAAATGAAAATTTCTATTTTTTGCGACAGTGTACTGTCGTCGCAAAAAGTATTACAAAAATAATAAAATTTCTATTTTTTGCGACAATTTAGTGTTGTCGCAAAAAGTAAAACCTGTAACAAAATCAATAAAAATATTAAAATTTTCTGTTTTTTGCGACGATGTAATGTCGTCACTAAAAATAAAAAAACATCATACGATAAAATTATTAAAAATATTAAAATTTCTCCATAATAATTGCATAATAATATAAAAATTTCTATATAAAAATAGCAATTTCTCCATAATAAAATATTCTTCCATTCATAATTACACATCAACAAAATTATCCCACTACATAATGTTCCATAATACATATATAATGTTTAAATACATGATTTTGTTCATAATTCAAAATAACATAAACCAAAATTAATTGTTTTTCTCATCATTCTTCGTAGATAACAAAAACAAAAATTATCCACATTCTCCACAGGTATGCATTCCACAAGAAGCACACTCCTACATGGGAAATATCTGAAAAATAAAAATAAAAATAATTAATGACAATATAATTATGTGTTAACGTTAATTACAAAAAAACATAAGAACTGTACCAATTTGACAATCCATCCCAATTAGTAGGACATGCATATTAAACCAG